GTTTGAAAGGACCAGATTTCAGTTGAAGTCTGCTTCATCCTCATCTTTCGATAACACAAATTTAGAAATATGAAAATACTTCTGTTCAAATGTTTTTGGGATTACGTTTTATAATAGAAAAACGAAGGATATGGGGTATCCATCCACAACTCAAAATCAGTACATGCACAGCAAAAAACACAAAAAGCAAAGTGCTATTATACATGTACGATGATTTTTTTTTAAAGGAAAGTATTTGAAAAAATCATATATAAAACTACTGCAACCTCAAGGGACTGTGAAAATTGAAAATTTAATTGAAATGTTAGGACTACATGTTTGTAAATGGTTGTGGACTACAAACTTCTACAGATTTTATAAAATGGTCCCTCAAAGGAGAAATTTCCGACGTTACAGAAGTTTATCAATTTTAAATACCGTATATAATGAGGATTCCTTCCTTCCTGAACTTGTAACCCCTATTTATAATTTTGAATCTTTTCTATATTTAATGTATGTTTGTAACGGATGTGTACCAGTTGATAACCTTTTCAACAGTATATATTAAGCTCCACAGAAATAATATATCTACATTTATCCATAGGGATTCCCTGTAAAATGTCCCTCCATAACCCAGTAGACAAACATCCTTACAATAGACCCTCTGATCATTTGTATATATAACACCTACAATAAGAGGATTTGTAAGTCAGATGTCATGTTTACTTCAAGTAACTTAGTTTTAAATTAGTACAGAATTTTTATTTGTTTGTTTTTTACATGTATATATATGGAGATCACTATTCTTTTTTTATCAAAATTTTGTTATAAACATCTTAAACTTTATGACTACATAATTTAATTTATTTTTCATTGTTTTGATGCATTATTCCCCCTGTATGGAGGCATAATGTTATATTATTGTGTATTTCCTCTCCTTCTGGTTCTTGTTCTCACATAGCCTTGTCAAGTTTTGCTCGCAAGGGTCATGCCCAGTCTGCAGGGGTCACAACAGTTACGACCATTGACCAAATATATTCTTATATGCCAAGGCAACACAACACCTTAATATCTTTTGAGGACAACAATGTTTAAGTTGTGCCTTTACCAGAGAGCCTTATAAAGAGTAAGGGGAGACATGATATATGTTTAATTTCACTTAAAAATTCAGGCCTACTTTAATTTGGAATTTTGTTTCTAGACTGGTAGAGTATCATGTACTCTTATTAAAGATTTACAGTTTTTTCAAAAATGTTGTATCACAAAAGTTCTGGAAATGATCTTTTAAATATGAAGGGACAACAACAGCTAGGTTTATATTTGAATAAAAAGCAGGTCTATAGTGTGTTGAGTGATATTTTATGAGTACGAGTGTCAATTACTGTCACTTATAAATCTGTCTCATAAATGATAGAAAGATCCACTTAATTTAGACATTATTTTCATATTTTGCTATTGTTAAGTAAGAAGAAAAGAGGATGTGACAAATGGCTTCCTTCTCTGAATCGGAACTTATTAAGATTATATGTCACTTGAAATCAACAACATATAAAATGTCCTGAAAAAGAGCATAGAGATTACTATATATAGCTTTGAATCATTTTTAATTCTTTTGAAAGAAAATTGTATTCTTTAGAAATTAAGCTTAACACATACTGCTTTGATTTCCAAAGTAGAGGACATCATAAGTGATGACATCATGCCCCTGCACATGTATATTTCCCAAACGTGTTCTAGAAAAGAAAACTTGGCATATTTACCTGTCTTAGAGTGACCTTTTTTTTTTATTTTTGAAATTACAAAAATTATTTGACTTATTAATTCGATAAGTTATTGACCTTAAATGACGATTATTGATTAATATTTGAGTTTTTATATCATCTTGAAAAATGAAAAACAGTAAAAATGATCAGCTACCAAGTATACACAATAAAGGTTTGACAGGTGAGCAATTCAGTCTCTTGTTTGAATTAATTTATAAGTTTTAAAGGCCAGTTTATTCCAGGTATACATGTATGCAAATTTATTCCATCTCTAGACATTAATGATAATAAGATGTCCCTAATACATATGATATAATACCCTGAATAGCATGGATGTGTCTCTCATCCATATAGATATTACCCTGAATAGTATGGATGTGTCTCTCATAAATATAGATATTACCCTGAAATATGGATGTGTCTCTCATCCATATAGATATTACCCTGAATAGTATGGATGTGTCTCTCATAAACATAGATATTACCCTGAAATATGGATGTGTCTCTCATCCATATAGATATTACCCTGAATAGTATGGATGTGTCTCTCATAAATATAGATATTACCCTGAAATATGGATGTGTCTCTCATCCATATAAATATTACCCTGAATAGTATGGATGTGTCTCTCATGAATATAGATATTACCCTGAAAGTATTATGTATGTGTCCCTCATGCATATGATATTACCCTGAAATATGGATGTGTCCCTCATACATAATATATTACCCTGAAATATGGATGTGTCTCTCATACATATAGATATTACCCTGAATAGTATGGATGTGTCTCATACATATAGGTATATCCCTGAATAGTATGGATGTGTCTCTCATACATATAGTTATTACCATGAAAGTAATGATATGTCGTTTATACATATAGGTATTACCCTGAATAGTATGGATGTGTCCTTTATACATATAGATATTACCACAGGCCTGAAAAGTATGTTTGTGTCCCTCATAAGTAAAGATATTACCCTGAATAGTATGAATGTGTCCCTCATACGGATTGATATTACCCTAAATAGTATGGATATGTCCCTCATATGGATTGACATTACCCTGAATAGTATGAATGTGTCCCTCATACGGATTGATATTACCCTAAATAGTATGGATATGTCCCTCATACGGATTGGTATTACCCTAAATAGTATGGATACGTCCCTCATACGGATTGATATTACCCTAAATAGTATGGATGTGTCCCTCATATGGATTGACATTACCTTAAATAGTATTGATGTGTCCCTCATTCATATAGCTATTACCCATAAGGATAGTATGGATGATAAGAGTCTTGTTAAGAAAGTATAATGCACCAGTTCTGACTGGTACCTTGAAAGCTTGTTGAATATCAATGGTTCCAGTCTAGAGATCAATTATTGTTGTTGATGACAGATGTAATATAATAATGTATTTTGACAAGTTCAGGTGTTGTAATGAGTGACAGCTGTTGTTCCTTGTAGATTTTTAAATCAGAAATATGCAGATTTGTCCTTTGTTCATTGTGAAATGATTGATTTTAAGTATGCAAAATATTTTATATTTGGGTCCATTTCACAGTTGTTAATTTGACATAGCACATTGTCACTTAATACATGCAGATCACCTTTCTACATGTATGTCCTACAATGCCCATGGGGAAAGTTACAACCAAGTTTTGGGGATTGTGGTTGCTTTTGAGGTTGACCAGTCACCGCATGTTAAATTGATTGAAAGAATCCTGTTATGCAGCCAAGCACATGATAAATACTATTTACTGTTATATATATATATATATATATTTTTTTTTTATAAAACTTACATTTTAAACTGTGAAACCTTGCATTATGTTGATAAACAATTAATTTATGTCATATACATTTCAAAGGTTTCAGGAAACAAATAAATGTAAGTGGTATTGTTGTAAGTGTTCTAGTTTTATTTAGGTCTATATTTTATTTAGTACTTGAGGGAAGGAAATTCATAGATTGCTTGAAAATGAAGTGTTTATAATGAATTGGTTTTAGTGTTGTTTTCATGTGTGTAATGGCTTCAGTAAGAAGAAGAACAAGTAAGTTTTTGAAAGTATTGATATATTTAAGCTTAACGTTACATTTACTTAATTTTATACTTTTTTGTTTTTTTTAACTTAGAGATGTACTGTTCCCAGCTTAGAGGTAACCAATTTTGTGATGACTTATTTCCTTTGTAAATAAATCTACTTTTGTTGTAGAAGGAAGTATTAATCTAAGTTGCTGTGAAAATTGTTACACAATGTACTAAACATTTATTAATTTTGTTGGATATCAATTTTCATGGGATTTTGTGGGTACAGGGCTACCACAAATTTAAATGTTCAACAAAATTAAATTACAAATTTTCTAATTGTCCAGTTGCAGTCCTCCCTTGAGAATGTTGTATGTCTTATATAGATCTGTAGGCCATCATGGTTTGCTTGGCTGTTAATGTGAAATATCTGCGTTACAGATGACATCGCAATCCTGTCCCTTTTACCATGATTATGACATCATGGAATTCACTTTATTGCATAATTGTCACTTTGTATCAGGATATAAATTGAGTTTTCTTTAATAATGTAGCCTGTCTAAACCAGATGTGTCCAATGAATCTTAACAAATTCTTCAGTCCCAAGGTTAGTTGTAGACAGGTTTCCACTGGTTTGGATTTCAATTTGTATTAAATCTGTATTTAGATTTAGAGTTATAGCCCTTTTGTTTTAATAACATTTTGTATGTTCATGCTAAATACTAGAATTTCTATGCCAGTACACAGAAAAAGTGAAGACTGAAAGTTAAAAAGATAAAGGCAAAATGCCAGAAGGAATTAAATTTTGTTAAAATTACGAAATTTGACTGCAGAGAGGTGCAGACTATGGCAGATCACATTTAGTAAAATCCTCATTCATTACCATTGTTCATAATTTGGTCCCCTCTTAAAATTGACATTAATAAAAGTATAGCAATTAGATGTTGTGACATTCTGTTTGTATTACACATGAAAAAAGTCTCTGTTTTGTGCAATATGTTCCATATGCATGATGTCCAACCTCCATCTGTTTATCTTGGGATGCTATTTTTAGAAAAATTTTAGTGATAATATTCAAAGATTTTTGTATAAATCTGCACAGTAAATCCTTTCATCATTAAAACAAGGCTGCTTGTTTGATGTAATGACTCACATTTAACAAATTTTAAAGGATTTGAAGTTTGCAGGAAATCTACACTACAAAAGTTTGCTTCATAAAAGCCAAAACCGATTAACTGACTTGAAACAATTTTGGAAAAGTGTGTCGTCAAAATGATACAGTTATTACTTGAAATGGAATTGTGATTGAGGAGTTTCCATATTGGTTTGGAATGAATGACAGTCTGAAATTGATCTTGATATTTTTTTTGTCATTTGAGAGATTTCCTAATAACAAAAGATTTTGGATAATATGTGAATGAAGTTTAAATTAAGAACAAAGGGGAGTGCTCAATTTGCTGTAAACTTAGATTGCATCTGTGATTGACAAAAATATAGATACATTGTTTTGTACCTCTGGCCAATTGTAAATTAAAACGACTGTAAAAAAATCAAACAGAAGTCTTACATTTACAGGGAGTATTCAAAATAGCTGGAGGTTGTGTTTTTAATCATGTTTGGATAACTGCCCTCGTATTTATAAGATGAGATTTAAAAGGTGAAAATAAGTCAATAAAATAAAAGTGTATGTGGACAGGAAAGGATGTTAAGATTTTCATTATTACCTTCAGAAATGTCGTGGGTAAACAAAGCGTGGATAATTGGCCCATGAATGTTAAGCTATTCAGTCAGTTGGACAGTATCGTATTTGTATATCTGAATAGGACATGGATCATTCATGATAGAAATCGACTTCATTTCTGGAATATAGAAATTGTTGCTATGGATATCTATAATGTTTCTCTAACTTAATCACATTGAATGGCTACAACAGGGAATTGAAGCACATTTTTTTGTTGTATTTGTATTGTCAAAGAGTTGAAATATTATATACTTCAAAAGAAATGCGCTTTCAGTGAAATTGCAAAGCCAATCAACTATAATGTTACATAGATATTCATGACTTTGGATTTTAAAGCTTAAATGGGCCAAATAAGTTAAAAAATAAATGCAATAATATCTAATGGATTAGTTGTAATCTAAGGATTAGCAGTGCCTTTGTACATTTTCAAGGTTGGTTTGCATTTATAATGGTAACTTTGCCATCATTGTAGTATGATTGTTGAAAATAGGTGTTGCCGCACACAATAAGTACTGATACTGTCCAGACATAGCGCTTATGTGAAAGTATTGACCATTTATAATAAAACCAATACACATTATACAATACTGGTGTTGATTGCCTCATCTTAGGCTTATTTCTTATGGATTCAAGTGACGATGTCTTCTTTTTATTGATCGGGAGAAATTTCCTTACTTGTAACAACTGTGTATGTACACAGTTAAACTGACAATTGTGTAAAAAACTGGAGTGTGATAATACAAATAAATTGTTATGGAAAATTCTGTATGGATTTTGTACCATTGAATTGGATACAGGTATATGGAAAATAAAAAAAGTCAATATCTGGATAGAAACCTGAATTTAGTACTGTGATTTGGATAGTTTGTTTATCTGGAAAGAATTTTCAAAATGAGAACACGTCAACGGGTTTCGTTATTTGCCTGCTATTTGCCAGCTGAAGATATTGTACCAGTTGGGCCAAGGATTTTGGGTATGGTTTTCTTTATATCCTTATATGGTTATTTGATGGTAGTCCACACCACTACATACATGGCTTCTTTTGTAAATGTCAACATCTATTTATTTCTATATATGTACATGTTTCAAGGTGGAAATATTTTACATCCAATATTGTAGAATTTTACTTGAAAAACATGAGAAATAGAAAAACAAGTCAAAGCATTGAGATGTTGACCTGTAAGTAACAGGATATTGAATTTTCAGAATAGTGACTTATGGGAAGAACTCCTTCTAGTTTATTGGATGCGCTATATTATATTTATCTCTTAAGAATAAATCTTGATAAAATTCACAGCACGACCAGCTTTTGTTTTATCACAACATGACAAAACTAATTGTAATGTATGCTCTCTTATATCATCTTGATAGTAAAAACATTTTTTTTTATTCATAAATAATAAAAATAATTTCCTTATCCATTGGGAAGTGTCTTCCATCTGTGAATAGATACGTGAAAATTTTGTCTGCATTATCTTTGATCTCTGTATGCTACAATTTTCAAATGTTCATGTTCAAATCCATGTGTCATAAGGTTTCATGATAAAATGTATTAATTGAAACTCCTCTTTGCCACCTATCATGTCTGAAGGCTTTTTCAAAAGTTGATATATTTTTGTCAACCTTTCCCCCTTTAAACATTTGAAATATATTCAAATTAACCAAAATACTGCTTTAAAAAAATTACAGAAAAAGCTTTTGATGAAAGCAATGTTTAATATTTTTTCAATGTAAAAGCCTTAATCTTCAACTATAAGTTCAGAAAGTGTAAGGTTAATAAGATATATACACCTTTTACCTGCAGGCTTGTATAAATAAACAGATATAAATTGGATTTGTTATATGTTTACATAGTAAACATCAAATTATTTACCAATAATATGAGAGGACCCCTTTGTTGTATATAAATAGTATCATTACTTGATCAATAGCCATATTCCATTGTTACCAAATCTTTTATTGATTGGTCAATTTACCCCCCTTTAAGATTTAATTTTGTAGGTTTAATGCTTAGGAATGTACTTTTCACTTTATCTGGCCTTTTATCAAATTGGCCAATTAGGCTGGTCAGTTATCAAATTTGTGATAGAATTGAAAAATTACCATTACCTCCACCTGACCAACACCTGATGGACACGATGAGTTTCTCTAGTACATAAATCTTTTACAATGAGTTTCTCTAGTACATAAATCTTTTAAGTTTGTAAACATTTGACCCTTGGTCATTAGCCATAGTTTGATCATGTTGATTTGTTGTCTAGTTGGCATCTGATATAGATGGTTATTGACTATGACTGGATGTCTGGTTTTCATCAACTGACCACAGCTTTGGCAAATGGCTTATAAACGTGGGTGTTCTGGATACTATGTCTGTCAATGTATCAAGCAAATGGTTGCACAAACATTTACTTATTTTTGTAGCATGTTTTGTTTCATTTTGCATCAGGGCTCACCCATACATTCTAATGTTAAGTTGTTTCTGTCGTGTTTGGGGGAAATCGCTGAGGATGGCTTAATCAGGGGTAGACTAGAAACATGTATATTGGTATGTTTCTCACATTGCTTTTGTATGTTTATTTGGACCATATACATGTACGGCTGGTCATTTGTTTAGATTTGTTAAGAATAATTTAGTACTTTATCGCAATGTGATGAGGCCTTGGTAGCAGATTTGTCTAAGCAATTTATCTACAGTGATATCAAGCCTGTCAACTCTAAGGTCGTGAGTTTAAATTCCTCTTGTAGCGATGTGTGTATGAGTCCAGTCTTATTAATATTTGACAAGGATTGTCAGTTTTCCTAGCAAAGGTTGGTGGTTCTCTCTGGGAACTCTGGTTTCCTCCACCATTTAAAACTGGAAACAAACAAAAAGTAAGGAAGTTAGGCTCACTTTATACTCCACAAATTTTCAAGAAGAATTAGTTTTCGTGTAGTTGTTTTTAAATAACAATTTGGGTAGGAATTTCTTCAAGAATACCTCCTGGTAAAGACACTTAAGTGAAAGAATGGAAGTTTTTTAGCTTTCATTTCTTGATTTAAGCACAGCAGATTTGTTTGATCTGAAGTCACACACTAATTAAAGCAAAATTACACAACACTGCCAAAATTTATTGCTCAAATTTTATCGAACTTGTTTTCCTTTCTAAAGTTAATTTACAAACAAACTAGAAATTTAATGAATGCAAGTATTGGATAAATCAATGTTGGCCTGTTATGTACATGGTTAATTTGCATAATTATTGAAGCAAAGGTAATTCCCTAAGTTATGTTGATGAAAAAACATCTGTTTACATGCATATTTAAAGTGTGTAGTAAACCAGATGTGTAATCACCAGGACTTCAAAATCAAGATGGCATCTTCTCATATTGTGATAACATTTCAAATCTTATCACCATCACTATTACTGAGGGAACTTCTCAAGGTGTTTGTCTTCTGCTATCATGATGAGGTTTCCTTTTTCCTAAACTGAAGCTGCTTCAACTCATTGCTTTGTAAAACCAATATGATAGCAGGATTTCCTGGCCTTGTAAATGTTCATTAAAAGTTTTACTTCCCTGTGAAAGAGTTGTCCTGAATATGCATGAACTATTTGACACTGGAGACTGGATGTTAAGCAAACAACAATAAATCTGTTGATTTTTTCAGGAAGCCAAAAGAAAAGTTTTGATATTTATTTTCCTATTCAATGATAATGAAACTAATCGAATAGAGGTTGGTCAAGAATTTGACTATTTTCTTATTTCATACAAAATGCGGCATTATGATGCATTGATGCATTGCAGCTTTTGGAAAATATATTATAAAATGCAAACAATCAGGTTCTGTAATTGAAATTATAGAACATGTTTTCCACAACTAATGAATGTTTATTCTTGACATGTACTCAATAAAACTAATTTTAACCTTTTAACTTGCACATGTTTTTGCAACATTTATACCATACTGACATAAACTTGTTTTAACTTTGAACTTTCCCCTCCATATGTACACACAGCATGCTGTTTCTTTAGTACAATGGAGTTTGTTGTGTTGTAAACAGACTGCATGATAATTAGACATGAGACCTCTCAAATCGTCAGGTAATTAGTAGATTTGTTAATTAATTCATTGTATTAATTAGTACCTACAAGGTTTGACACATTCTTGTTCATGCCAGGCAGATATTCAACTGTCAGAAGTAAACAGCGTATTTTTAGTGAAGAAAGATGACATAAATGGCTTCTTAAAGATTGTTTTCCACATTTCTTAAATGTTTTTGTTTCATATTGAAAGTGAAATCATACGTTTATTATGATTAACAAGGAAATTTAATATCTCCATAGAGTTGTTTGATAAAATAGTGTGTGATTTTTATTTTTATACATTTGAGTTTCGACAGTGTGAATACTTTTTTTTATTATATTTCAGTCATTTGTGTCAGTTCAATATCTTAAATGTTTCTCTTTGTTATGACTTGCTCTATGTATCATTGAAGTATGAAATTAAACAGGGCTGACATTACTTTGTTTTATAGTAGTCTCAGGCCAGGGGGATATATCATTGAAGTGTGAAATTAGGCAGGGTTGATATTACTTTGTTTTATAGTAGTCTCAGGCCAGGGGAATATATCATTGAAGTATGAAATTAGGCAGGGCTGACATTACTTTGTTTTATAGTAGTCACAGGCCAGGGGAATATATTATTGAAGTATGAAATTAGGCAGGGCTGACATTTCTTTGTTTTATAGTAGTCTCAGGCCAGGGTAATATATTATTGAAGTATGAAAGCGGACAATGGAGTGTATCATTGAAGTACCTGTACATGTATTAAAGTTGATAGAGGAATGAATCATTGCAGTAAGAAACTGGGATCAGGGGGAGTGTTTATTAATTATGTTCATGTTGTACATATTTGCTCTCTATTTTTACTTTGTATCCATTAGCCTCATAGTCCAGTAACCAATCGCGAGTGTCAAGGAAATTTTAAGACAATTTTTAGTACCTAATGGCATTGTGCGTTGAAGGGAAAGGTTCTTACTTAACCTGTAACTGAATTTTTAGTTAAGCCTTGATACACTGACCCTTCTGGTGGATATTACCACCCCATTAACTTATATGTTTGGATTGAACTGACATTATTTTGTTATTGATACACTGACCCTTCTGGTGGATATAACTACCCCATTACCTAATATGTTTGGATTGAACTGACATTATTTTGTTATTGATACACTGACCCTTCTGGTGGATATAACTACCCCATTACCTAATATGTTTGGATTGAACTGACATTATTTTGTTATTGATACACTGACCCTTCTGGTGGATATAACTACCCCATTACCTAATATTTTTGGATTGAACTGACATTATTTTGTTATTGATACCCTGACACTGCTGGTGGAATGTTCCCTGAGGACATCACTACTACAGTACCAAGTGTTTTTGTATTGGCCAGATATATCTTTGATATTGACATCTGAGAAACTTTCATTTGCCAAAAAGATGATACATTCTTAGATAAACTTCATCAAATGTTTCAATTCCATCTGTAACAGCCGATTTTGGCATTCTGTTCTGATTTCTTTAACTTAATTGCTTTTAAATGATGAATATTTTCAGATTTCTTGACTTTCAGTATAAATCACTAGATTTTGGAAAATGCACATGTACATTACATGTAATACTACATATACATGTAAGTGCATGATGATGAAATCAATTTCTGTTTACATGTGTAATATTTTGTAATTTTATAGTACTACCACATGATTGATTGCCACTGATGGTGCATTGTAAGTCTCGAGTGAAATTGTACCACAGTCCACTAGTGGTACAAATAGGATGAGATGTAAATTTTGAAATGTGCATATACATAAAACACTTTATATGCAAATAGGTTAATAAGGCAGTGTGGTAAATCCTACCAACTCATTGACTAAAATTCAGTGAAACTAAACTGCTTTATTTGCAACAGTTGATTTTTATACAAAACCAGTATAAAGTGTCCTCATTTTGGTGTAGAAGATTGGATGAGCATCAAGGAATAATTCATTTTATTATACTTCACGTTAGAAAGCCAGATTTTGATTGGTTGATACGAAGGAGACATTCTACTCTATCCCATGACTTATATTCTGTTACCCTTCACAAAGACACTTGATCATATATATATATAATAAATATAGATGGTATATGTTATATGCATGACGTCATAGTTTATTACTTTTAATTTACAATTTAAAATGCAATGGTAACAGAACATTCAGTATAAATTAAACAACACATAGCTGAGAGCAACATAGAATAGATTGTTACCCCCTTGCCTTCTTGACAATGTTTTTCAGGGTAGCAATCTGCTCTCACCCTCTCAGCTATGTGTTATTTATATAAAAGCCTTAGTAATAAACATCAGCAATTATTGATTGAACCACTGCTTTTGACATGCTTCTGTGAAAGGTTAATTCTCTTTGGTCACATCTGGAAAAGGGGCAACATAATGGAAAAACTTATTAAGGATTTAGTTGTTCATTATCGCAGTTAATCTCATTCAGGGGACAATGGTTGATAGAAAGTTCATTTAGTGAGTTGTGATTGATTTTGACAAGATGGTGTCTTTTGATTGTTCCTGTATTCACCAGAAAATATTGAACATCCTCTTACTAATTGGAAAGATAGCTGGCCAAACATTTGACAGCCATATTAAGCATATAGTTGCTAGAAGAAGTAAAACTGTGTAATTAGAAAGCTGTCATTTTTCTCTTTATAATAACAAATATGTAAAGTCACTACAGTAAAACTTTGACTCATTTATTATGAATTCATTAGATTATGAAGGTCACATAAAAGTAACTGGTTCATTTGCCTCTACAGTAAACATGTCTTACATATCTAACAATTGAAGTAAATATTATGGAAAGTAGAGAAAACATCACAGGACAAATATACCTTAACACATGTCCAGAGTTGTATGAGAATTACATGAGTTGTATGAGAATTACATTTCATTAGATATTCATTATAGAAATTTTTGGCATTTCAAAATTTAAAGAAAATAATTATATAAGCCCAAAACAGATTGCATTGATACCTAGAATTTAAATGCAATATATAAAAAAATTAACATTGTTTTTGGGTACCTAAAAATAATAGGAAATAAACAAGTACTGTTGTCTGACGTAAAGGTCTTTATTATGAAAACAAAGAGGAAAACCACAAGTTACAATGCATCCAATTAGCCAAATTCTTACAATATGCCTCTGGATTTCAATCAATGTTTCATACTAATTGTTGAGTGTGTAACTGTTTGGAAATATACAATGTCATTTGAAAAGAATGAATGTATGGAATAAGGTTTACTTAAAGAATTGAACACGCAGAAAACAATGTATTTAACATGATACAGCACATGTCACATACCCACTCCAGTAATAATAAAGAAACTTATTCTGAATTAAGTGTACAACATAATTTTCAGTGTCAGAAATTATATGCATATTAGGATATATGAAAAAAGTTGAACAATAAATTAGTTTATAGGTACTCTGTGTGGGTGGACTAGGTATATAGAAAGAATTTTACATTCCTTGGGAAACAGAAACATTCAGAAGATCATATCATTGTTCCCCACAAAATTCCACAATTTTAACTCAAAGAGTTGTTGGTTTGGTTGTTGTGCAAAGAGCCTTGACATATTTTTGTTCCCCACAACAGTCCACACATCTAACTCAAAGAGTTGTTGGTTTGGTTGTTGTGCAAAGAGCCTTGACATATTTTTGTTCCCCACAACAGTCCAAATATCAGACTCAAAGAGTTGTTGGTTTGGTTGTTGTGCTAAGAGCCTTGACATATTTTTGTTCCCCACAACAGTCCATGTATCAGACTCAAAGAGTTGTTGGTTTGGTTTATGTGCAAAGAGCCTTGACATATTTTTGTTCCCCACAACAGTCCACATATCAGACTCAAAGAGTTGTTGGTTTGGTTGTTGTGCAAAGAGCCTTGACATATTTTTGTTCCCCACAACAGTCCACATATCAGACTCAAAGTTGTTGGTTTGGTTGTTGTGCTAAGAGCCTTGACATTTCTTTGTTCCCACCACAGTCTCAAAGACATTTTGGTTTGGTTGTTGTGCTAAGAGCCTTGACATATCTTTATTCCCCACAACAGTTCACACATCTGACTCTTAAGAGTTGTTGGTTGGTTGTTGTGGCTCAGAGCCTTAACACACTTCTAACATTAACACCAAAACACATGATTTAACTCATTTTAAGGAGGAAATAAATTGGTGAATAGACTGCCTATGACCCTTAATAAGTAGTTACCAAGCCACATACTTCAGTAAATATGTAAATGAAACAAAACAGGACTTCTTCATAAATTCTTTGCTAATAATATTACATTATGATTATAATGATGTTACTAAGTGCAGTCGGAGAGTAACTGTAGAAGTTATGAAATTGATTTTTATAAAGAATTTAGTATGTCAGTCAGTTTATCCTTGAGTGCAATAAGCTTTAGGTAAATTGATTGACTCTAAACTAAAGAAATGGATCCTTTCAGTATAGACCTTCAGGGAATACTTCATATTCATAGCTGATATTCTTCCTCACAAATATCAATTCATAATAAGATAACAAGGTACTACCCCACACCATTCTTTTTTTCCTTTCTTAAAAAAATGTTACACTGTCTGGCTGTTATGGTAGAAGTACTTAAACTTTATGTTAAAGTTATGTTAAAAAGTATTCTGAACTATACATGTTTATGTAACGATGATGTTATGTGTACCTCCTTTAAGGATGAAATCCTTGATATATATTGGATATTTATCTTCAGAAAGTTTTGATTCTTTATGAAAACATATTGCAGTTGAACTTGGTTAGTTTTATTTAAATAAACTTAATGATCTTTGATGTAAAGTCAGTCAGAGGGGTGTTGTTAATATAAAACTGAACACCTACTTTGTGTATATCAATAATTATAATGGCTGAGTAAAGATTGCATAGCATGAAATTTTATTGAATCCATCTAGTTCCCTTTGTACTTGATCTTTATAGTTATATTTTACTGTAACAGTAAAGGTTGAAGCAGTGAGGCGTTGTAATTATTTCCTTTAATAACTAGTATAAAAGTTACAATATTTACAGCTTCAGATGTGTTGGTCACCTTTGACACATTAACTTTTATCTTTACTTTACAGACAAAGTAAGCAGTACATTGTATAAACATAATCTTTGAAGAAACTTAACAATTTTTCATTTTTACAAAACCAGCAAAATTGCCAAATTAATAACTATTTACTTTTTTCTTCGTCAGATATACGCAATCAACTCAACGAACAATTAAGATGTCTCGAAAACCGTCTAGAAATTCAGGTGGCCATGGTACAGGAAATTCAGGAATTTTTCCGACGGAAAGCAGAAGTAGAACTGGAATATTCAAGAAATTTAGAAAAATTAGTGAAAAGTACAAAGTTACGGCACCGACAAGAAAAACAAAAGTAAGAGAGCTTGCAAGCATATAACCTAACTAATACATATACAACATAAGTGTAGTAAACACAAGAGGTCATACATGTACAACATAAGTGTAGTAAACACAAGAGGTCATACATGTACAACATAAGTGTAGTAAACACAAGAGGTCATACATGTACAACATAAGTGTAGTAAACACAAGAGGTCATACATGGGACTCTTGCTGATATCATAATTTTCACATTTTCAAAATTTGATTATTTCTGTCAGTAGGTATTGCTATATGTCGTATATAAAAGAAGGAGGAAAGAACTACAAATAAAAAAAAAAATATAAAAATTACTATCCTTTGTATTCATGTAAATTTTTTTTTAAAATTCTGTAACAGGCTGATATTCAGTAGAGAATGGCTATTTTCACAGACAAAAATGGAGACAGTCACTGTCATAACTTTCAGAATTATTTTTTTTATCTTATTTAAAAATCTTACTTAAGCCTTTAAAAATTTTATGATCATTAAAAGTCCAACATAAATTGATAGTGGAAAGATAGGTTACATCTGATATGGACCATTAAAAATTGTATAGTACTTTCTTTTATGTCATCATTATACCGACACCATTTGATACAGAGTTTGTTCTTTTCAGACGTGAACATTGGTCTCTCTTCTCTACATTTACATGCTGGCAGCAGTTGTTAGATATTACAAAGAAAGAAAGCAGAGATCATGGTTCCTTTGGAGATGTGTGTAATAACCAGTTAGCTCATAGGCTTGGTGACATAATCGACAATTCCAGGAGAATATTTAATAGAGTAAGGCATTAGTAAAATGAATTTGGATTTGTAACTAGTGACCTAATGTTACAATAAACATGCATAATAGTCCCTTATATTGAAGGTTTCATTTTGGGAACATTCAGAATTTTCAGGCTACATTTAAAACAGATGTAGCTGAATTTGATCATATAATACAACAGACATAAGTAGGTTATAATGATGGCTGTTTAAGGTCCAGTTGCATATTAAATGCATATTCAGGATAAGAACATGGTAATTCAATATGAATATTACATGTATCCCTGCTATGTACTAGACCAACACACTGAGCCTGGAAGCATTATTCTGACTCTGAGCCTACCAGTCTTTGCTTTTACTCCTTTAATGCTGTGTGCTTAGCGGAGAAGCAGCAAATAAAAATTTTAAAGTCTTTGATGGACCAGACCTTGGCCATGGTTTGAACCTAAGACCTCCTGCACTCGAGGGGAGCACAGCTGTTTGTCTTATTTGCCTTATTTGAATCTAATCAAGTTTAGATTATACTAATTCTTTAGTTGTACATTTTTTATCCTGGTCTTCTTTGTGACTTTAGCAACTGCAGAAACATAGTATCACAGACTATACAACTACACTTGTGCTAATAACTTTTAAAACAAATCTATGCTTTTCAAAAAAAACTAGTAGATTTTTTTGGTAGAGAACGATAATATAATGTAATCTGGTAGAAGGTTAAAGTTTGATAATGAAAAACTGATCACCTCTTCAGACAATGACTTTGTAAGCTGCAAAATATAAACAACAAATATAAGAAGATCCGTCAGATTTCATCATGATATACATAATTACCCTTTCCTATAAGCAATTTCCTTGTTATTTACCTCTTGTTAGTATATTTTACAAAATGTGTAAATTTATGATGTCATTTCCCTCTTGTTTTTATGAAAATAGCTAAATTTCAAGCAATTATGAAATATTTTGTCGATAAGTAATTTAGTTTGAAGTATAATGACAGAAAACATGTTAAAATAGGATGTCATTTATTGAATTTTGAAGATCATAAAACTCTAATTTTGATGTGTCATGTTATTATATTAAATAGAAATTGATCTTCCATCATTACATATGTTCAGCTCTCCATTAACATTTTATATTAACCAAAAGCAGTTTTTAAGAGTAAAGACAAAAGGACTACTGCAACTGTAGTCAGTCATCCATGACAAAACTGCAATAACTTGAGTATGTTAAATATGTACAAAAAAAGATCAAAAGGGTAGAATTAAAAAAAATGTATGAATGAGTTTAGTTAAACATCTTAGTATTTTATTACTAAATAATACTTCATTGGGTTTCTTCTTGGTATATTTTCTGAAACAATGTCTTTAAGTTCACCAGGCCTATATGTAATTTCATAAGAGGGAATGTATACTATCTTAATGACCCAGAAATATAAAAGATATTTAATCCATATTTATTTAAATTCATTCTTAAGTGGGTTGTGGACTAGACAATAATGATTGATATCATTTCTACCTGAGATATAGACCATAATGAATGTTTATAACACCTGCCTAAGTTTTCATAAGGAAGAGGGATTGTGAGATATAGCTGTTTCACCAAATGACCGTGCAAGTTTTAATTTACACATACGTACCCAGTAATTGTCATACAAATATTTAAGGAAGAGTTTACAAATAATTTCTCTGTGGGAAATTGCATCCATAACAAAAATATTTCATACAATGTAAATTATATTAAATGTAATTGATAAACATACATAATACACAGGTGACTATAACCTTTGTGGTCACATAACACTTGATTACTGAACCTAATGTTTCCTCATGGATAACTCTTCTCTCATGTTCTGTAACTACACCCAAACCTAACAAAAATAATGTGTGGGATAGTTAATAGCATTTCCAAGTGGAAATACATGTATATGTACAACAGTTTTTAGGTTGCTTTCATGATTTAAGACTACACAGTAATACTTTTTATAGTTAAGCCTATTTTGTAATGAAATATAATTTTTGTAACCCTCTGATATTGAATATCACTTAAATAAAACAAAAGATCAAGAATAAACAAAATTAACAGCTTCATAGATATATTTCAAGCTATATGTTTTTCTTTCAACAACTGAAGTTTTGGGTGGGTTTTGTTCAGAAGGAAGTATCTTTAAAAAATTGACAAGGAGGATCCTTTCTCATGCATGTTTTATTATATGTAATATACATCTGCAACAGAAGCTGTGAAGCAGTTATAATTAATGATGCAAGGTCACTTAAATCACCATGTGTTACCAAATGTTTACATGTTTTTAGTGATCTGTTCGTGGGTAACTTGCTGTGTAACAGTATATCTTTGTCTAATTTTAGTGTAAAAATGTTGGTGATGAGAGCCATGAAGAAATAATGAAGGCATTAACAGAGTTGCAAAGTGTAAGTAGATACCTGTTTAGATTGACCTTTGACCTGTTTATAAGCAGGTGAGAACATTGACATGACACTTCTGTCTATTGCTATTGATTTATTGGAGAAGCAGTTAATGAGATGGGAGACACACATGATTCATTTGATATAAGGAAGTTTTAGTGAATCAGCATTTATTTATCTTTACTAAGCACCTTTATTTATTAAATCTATGAATGACAGTTCAGTGACTGTTAATTAGAATAAAGTAAGGGTGGAGTTCCAGTGAGCAAATAAATAAATGTATGACTGGAGAGGACAAATAAATTGATCATTATGACATAATTTCTAAAATAAGAATCTTAGGACTGTTTCTTATTGAAATATCATAAATCTTAATTCAAGTGAAGATTATTTCCTTGTTTCTTTGAAGAACTAGTTCAATTTTGATTTTATTTGCATTGTTTTGGTTTCAAATAAATAAATATTGAAGTATATAAACATATATTATTATAGAGGACCCGACATAAAAATGGGAAGTTGGAACTGATAGCCAAATCATATCAATAAAAATGGTCTTATCTTTGTTTAAGGAAATAATTCTGTAATATACTGACACATTATACAGCTTGCCCTTCTTAGAAAGTACATATCTATTAGTTCTGAATTACTTCCTGGTGATAAAAAGAAATAAATGTCTTAACATTGACCTGTACATTAATAATCTAAGTATAGTTTGGTGTGGAAATACAATCAAGACTTCTCTGATTTGTTAAAATTTCCAAGTTTCCGTCACATCTTGATATCTACCTCAGGTCTATTGAGAGATTTCTAAGAAGTTGATCACATCTGATTCATTCAAGCCTATCATTTTAATGTATGTTGTACCAAACAGCTAAAAGATAAAAAAAATAAATATCTAGAGGTCAAAATGCTGATATCAACAATGAGCAGCCTGCTAATAACAATGAGGTTATTAAGAGCTTTCTAAAAGGTGCAAGAAAGCTCTTAAAAACCCAAAGTATTAATACATTCTAAATTCAGCAGAATTATTGAAAATTTTGTAGTCAGTGCTAAATTATACAAATACTGTACAAATGAATTATCAGAAACTGACAAGGCCAAGCTCATTTATGAATCATAATAGACAAGTTCAGGTTGAGGAGAACAGAAATGAAGAAGAATACTGATGTTTCATTCCCATGACTAACCATGCTAACAGTCTAACTATATTTGACAGGTTTATACACTAATGAAAGCAAAAATATGTACTCCAGTATTTTGATTTAGAAATAGTATACTTATAAATTTGTAATACATTGAATACAAAATATTATTCTATGATTTGCTCCAAGGTCATCTTATAATTAGTGGTATTTTTATTTTGGCAAAGTAATGAAAAGCAAACAAATCTGTTACCAGTCTTAATCAAGATATCTCAATTAGAAGAGTACTTTGACTATCTTAGAACATAGTTATAGTATTAGTTGATGGGTAATGTAAGAGTGAATGAATATTGGGAAATCTGCATAAAAGCATTAATGTTAGATTCGTATATACAAAACAGTCTATATTTTCTTTAAAAATGTTTTAATTTGCCACTATAAAGGTACTTTGAACATCACATAAAGGAGTAGGTCCGGTAAGGGCCGATTTTGGCCTCAAATTTCAGGTTCATCTGACGAAAGATTTTGGACACTTTTTAAACACTTAACTGTCTATTTCAGTTGATTCAATTAGTTTATGTGAAAAAAATTAACTGATTTAGTCATTAAAAATGCTCCGATTTAAGCTTAGATATGAAAAATCTATCAAATATGACGAAAAATGTCTCTTTTCAGATGGTTTTTGTCAAAAATGAAAGTGGCCGCATCCGTGTTCATCCTTAACCTTTATATATGTTATGTATTATCATCAAATACAACTTACATTTCAATATTAAGAATGAACACAAATGCGGCCACTTTCATTTAAGATGGAAACCGTCTAAAATTTAACTAAAATGCTAAATTTGTGAAGATTTCAGTAATTTAGCATGACTTGATGATTCTAGTACCCAATATATGTGCATTGAATTGTCAAAAACAGCCCATATTTATGTAGCAGAAGCATTATACTTTCCATCAAATAACTAAAAGTTTACATTTTAACAATTTTGTAAAACTGCTATATTTTGAGGCCAAAAAGGGGTCTTACTGGACCTACTCCTTTACTGATGCAAAGTATGTTTTTACAGCTGACTTCTTTGAGTGTGTAGTAAGTACAATTAATAAAAGTTTACTTATTTGTTATCTGAACCATGAATTGTTTCTTACTGGTATGTAAAATAACTGGTTCTACATTATGTTGTTACCAATTCAATAATTAGACAGGCTTACAAATAGAACTGAAGCTCCTAAATTTGGTGGTGAACAAAGGGTACATTGATGAGATTAAGAGAAATCAAACCTAAATTCCTTGCATAGGTACACACTCTATTGTAGTAAAGCTGTAATTAAAAAAAACAAAACAAAGCAAAACTCTGTAAGAGAGTGAAATCTACCCCTGCTATTCACCTGTGGCTCTGTTTCTAAACATCAGGAGCTTGAAGTCTTATTGCTGTACCATCTTGTATATGTTCTGAGGCCATAAATCTCTAGATATATATAGACAATAATGGGTAAATATTTAAATGTGACATTATATTAAATGTAGAGGTTTTTTTTAGGCTATGAAGACATATCATGCATACCAATCAGACAGTAAGTCAGCAGAAGCCAAGTTGAAAGCTGTAGAAACACAGAAGGCAAAGCTAGAACAACAATTAGCTGGCAAAAATGTTACCAGTAATAGGAAACTTAAGTCATTTAACAGACAGACAGAAAAGGTATGTTAATCCTGGGAAAAGTAGATTGTATGATGTTTATTAAGATTGTGTTTTTTTTTTCATTTTCATAATTCTAATACCGTTTAAAGTATTAACGTTAAATAAAGCAAAAGGAATTCTGCAAATTTAGCCAGGAGATAAGCTTTTCTGCCTTGGAATCCTAATGAATTTACGATCATTCCTTATATTATGTAGTGACAACCACAATTTTTTTCTGGGACTAACAGGGAAAATGTTTTCCTTAGAGTACATCTTTTTGTCGTAATTTTTTGGAGTATTTATTTCATGTTAAGCACTAGGTTATTCTTGTGAGACAAAAAAAACCTGACAGATAAAGATGATATGGATTGTTTTGAATATATTAAAGCAAGTAAGAGGTATTGATCAATAAGACAGAAAAGAAAGCTACGAATGAACACATGGTCCACGGTTAGAGACAAGTGCCTAAACCATAAGTCAATCTCTTAATATATGCTATAATTGAAAAAAATAATTTCAAGCACTAATGATAAACTATGTTGGCGTGTTCATGCATTGTGTTATTGTACTGGATCAAAAATGATTTTATTAATAAATTAACAAGTTTTGTACATATTCATTTCTTTTCAGAGAGAAACCAAATATATGGATAATAAGAAAAAAGCTTTAAAGGCTAGGAACGACTATTTGTTAGGTATTGAAAGTGCTAATGCTTCCATCAACAGATATTTTGCTGATGATTGCTCTGACCTTATGGATGTAAGTTTCATCATGTCTGTTAAATTTTGTAAATTTGCCAATGTTAATTAATATGCTTACTGTTTTAGATGTAAACATCTACTGTGATAGGGGAGTTTTATGTTTCCTTTAAGATTTTAGTCTTAAACTAATTTATCTATGCTCAACAGATGTTGTAATGTTGTGATAACATTTAGGTATATGATGACAGATAGGAGTGAGGTGAATCAGGTTATTCCCTTGCTATAAATAGATTTCCCTGAGATAAGGATGATGATAATGCTTTGATCAATTCTTTGATCAATTCTTTGAAGTAATTTTCAACATGAGCTACTGATTCATATTCAATGTTGAGTCAAAATGTTTTCACTAAATATATAGATAACCAGCTATTTACATTTAATTGAAAGATTATATTTTTACGAAATCGTTTGTTATTGTATCTGTTCAATTTCACAAGTCTAGAAAATAATTCATAATCTTATTGATAGAATTTGAAAATCATTTTTTATGTTAATACATATTTTAAACAAATTATAGCATATTTCCAATTAAACATAAACTCATGCATGTGGACAAGCAATATATTCAACCAATTTGATTTAGAAAAGATGTCTTATAATTTCTCTTTTGATGAACAGAAATACAAAGAGATCTCATTCAGTTTAAACTTCTTTTTCAGTGTATGGACTTTGGATACCATAATTCTGTTCGGTGTTCAATGTTGGTGTATCAGTCTTGTCATAAAAACTTATCCAAGGGACATAACAATGCTTGTGAGGTGGTCAATAAATGTGTTGGAGACTTGGATGCACAGTCTGATAAACAAAGATTTATAGAACTTTACAACTCGGCTTTCATGCTTCCTAAAAAGTTTGAATTTCAACCATATCGTGGTGATGAGGTGAGTATTATTAGTGAAGCAAGTTTTGTTTAGATCATTGGAATTTATTATGGAGATGTGATAAGTAAAAAAGAAATATAGTATAATATATACATTCTATATGTTATGGGACTAAATTGTTTTCAAATTATGTCACCACTCTATTAAGTATCATGGAAAATTTTAGTACATAGAAAAAGAAAGACCATTTATGGATTAACATTAGGAAACACTAATCAAATTACCATGTGCTAGCATACAGGAGACTTTTGTCCCAAAACTATAAGATGGCAGACACATCAATACATGTATTATTATAGCCATGAAGCCAATGGCTGTATTTGATCCAATGGCCATATTTGATCCAATAACTGATGTTTGTAATATTTTTTATTTTTATATTATCTGTGTAATTGCAGGTTCAACAAGTTAGTGCTCAGAAATCAGTTCAGGATGATATATTACAACGATACCATGCAATTGGTGATAGGTTACGAGATTTACGTCTTGAAAATGATGAGGTTAGTTTTTGTCACTGATGTTTCTCATAGAGAAATATTGATTGTATAAGATAAAAAGAAATATAAATAAAAATAAAAACAACACTTAATAAATTTCATGCGTCCAAAGCGCTTCTCTATTTTTCATTATCAGGAACCCTCAAAGATAAATATTTGAAAGCCAAGGATGTATAAGAACCAAAACAGATGAAGAGCTATATGACAAAATAGGACTTAAAAATAATAGTCAAATCCATCTAAGATCAACTTTGCCTGAGGGAGTAAAAAAGAAAAAAATTATTATTAAAAAAATAAGATTCATGAATGTAGTTTGTGAGACAACATGCTGGTAAATAAAAAAAATAGAGGGTCAAGTGTAAAGAATTGTTAATTTGAAATTTTGTCAGGTTTTGAATGTCTGAAGTGAATAAAGTAGACAAATGAACCATCAAATGGTTGATCTTCATGCATATTTTAACACCTTACTCTTTTCACATCAATATTGTCTTCATATAGGTGAAATGTTTAAATGCATATTTTAACACCTTACTCTTTTTCATATAGGTAAAGCTACGTTTTGTTTTAGTTGCTTTTCATTTTACTTTAAATGTATTCCATAGATATTTTTAAACTGACAGAAAAAGCAGTAATTTCAAATAGCACCATCTGATTTTAAATAGCACTGTTTGCTAAAATTATAACATTTGAAATGCGTTCTATTATAATTTCTTATCATGTATTATCATGGTACAAAATATATATCACAATCATACAATGCTGCTATAATGCCCTGGTTGGAGGTCATGACTATTGAAGGATGGGGGCTTAAAAATAGTAAAAGGAAATTTAGATTTAAAGAATAGGGGCCTTAATTAATGCACAGGTGCTACACTATGCACAAAAAAAAAAAAACCCACTGCCATTAGAATTTTTATTGAATCGTTTATTGTTTGTAGGTTTGGAAAACTTTAGAAGAGACTGAGAAGTCATTGAATGACAAAATCAACATTAAAGACTATGATGTCTCAACTTTCTTCTTAGAGGAAAACCATCCTCCAAAGTCTCCACATGAAGCTGCCAAAAGAAGGGGGGATAGAATAGAATTAGAGGGGTTTTATTTAGAAGTAAGTATAGCTTTTAATGTTCTGTTGAAATAAAATGTATATCTGGAATAGTAATTGCTGAAAATTTTTATATATTTATTAATTTTTTATTAGTTTTGTTAGAAAATTACATGAGTCGTTTTGATAGATTGTTATTTGAATCAAAATGTAGATTAAAAAAATGGTTCGTCCAATATGAAACTTCATTGATATTTTTAACTGACTGTATGCAATAAATTTTACTACCATATTAACCCATGATCTACTTAACCATGTTTTAGATGACCCTAATGCTGGTTATTAACACATTAAAAAAGTAATAACTAGAATTTAAATAGAGGGGAGAAATATTTCTATCTGAATATTGACTCACTGTTGATTCATTCATTTTCAAAAGTTTTCAATTTTCAAGAACAAAGAAAAAAAGTATTTTATGAACATTTTATATTTCATGGTTTTGTCAAATTTTACATATAAGCCTATTGAAAATTTGTACTTCATGAAGCATTAAGAAATGTGTGGTTTAACCGTACGAATGAAATCAAAGAAAGTGGTATCCCTTGAATAATAATGAATGCACAGTAACTGTAAGATATGCAGCATTACTCATATAAACTTTTTGAAAAAAGTTTTGTGTTTATGAGACCATAAAAAATGCATGATTTTTTATTTAATGATTTTTTCTTTTTCAGAAATTTCATAGGTATACATTAAGTTGCAATCAAATTGCTAGATTACAGGCCAAGTATAGTGCAATACAGAAAGCTCTCGGTGATAACTTATCTACCAACTCTGGGTAAGAAACATATATTATATAAGATTCTTTTTAAGTTCAATTTAAAACACTTAAGATTTTGTTGACACTTAAACTATTTGTTGATATTGTAAATTGCTCTACATTTTAATATATATACAAAAAATAGTTACTTACATAATTAACTTCCAAATTTTACCATAAAAATCTGTTTGATCCTGCATGACAACTATGCTTTATCTTCATAAAAGATCAAATACATAGAAACATATAACATTCTATATTGCAGTAGTCGACCACCTTCACTTCCACCTAAGCCAAAAAAGAGAAGAATTGGTCGATCACAGATGGTAGGACAGCCAAAACTGTTTGGTGGTAGTCTTGAAGAATATATAGAGGTAAAATTACATAATTTACAACCATAAGTGTTATTTACATTGGGTTTTGGCCCCAGCTCTGTTATGGTTGAAAGAGAAGATCATGACCAGATTATGACGACCTAACAAGCACTATAAGAAACCATTGTTCATTTGATCCATAAGACTTTAATGATGACTGTTACCTGCTTGACCTACTCCTTAAGAAAAAGCCAGGATTCCTGGGAGTGCTAATGCCTGTCTAACATCTGGTGGTAAATAAAACATGCATACATCCTCCACCAGTAAAAAACTGACTGCCACGAAATAGCACAACCGTGCTGAAATGATGTAAAACACCAATCAATCAATCAATTGATATAAATATAAATGCTATCAGACAACCGAGGCTGTTTCCACCAAAATAAGCATCCACATAAGTTTCAATATTGATAAAAATAAGAAGTGGTATAATTGCCAATGAGACAACTTTCCACAAGAGACCAAATGACAGAGAAGTTAACAACTATAGGTCACCGTACGGTCTTCAACAATGAGCAAAACCAATACCGCATAGCAGCCCTCAAGAAGCTTCTGAAATGAGGTTGCCAATTGGCCACCAGACATGAAAATTTAGTGGCCAACTCAAAATTTCAGTGGCCAGGAAATAATTTCAGGTCGCCTACATTTTTTTTAATAGCTAAACAACCCTTGTGAAATAAAAGTATTAAATTCTTGTTGTGTTTTTATGCTGACGAGTGTAGAAAATAGTTTGTATAAATCAACTGTTAAAAACCACATGATTTATTTGATATTATATTCATTGACATTCATGTACATGTTTTAAAACAGTCTGCAACGTTAAGCTGTAGCCCAAAGCCCAAGTCTACTAAAAATCTCATCGGATTTGTGCAGAAGCACTGGTGATTGCCTGATCGGTCAAGTGAACATCTGAAATCGTTTGCTAAATTGTAGGCAGTATTTTATTGAATCTATGAGAACAAGTTACAAAATTGTCGCCGACCTTGTTTCCATCCGTTTACTGACGAAATCAAGAACAAGTCTCGACCATGTGCTTTCAATTAACACAATCTATAAATGCCAATGGTTTTCTTTTTAACGGCACATAATAGTCCAAGTTGTGACTGAGTGCGGAAATACGAAGATAGATATATATAAATCCTGTCAGTAAGTCAACGACAACAAATTGCTTACAAATGAACTACAAGTACCTGATGCAATAAAGCACTGACAAGATCAAGCTTAAATCTAAAAGCTTGAAATACAGTAAAAATTTGTGTTACTGTCAAGCGCTCAGACGATTTTTTAAAACCCGACTCTGATCAGGGCAAACTTTCCGAAAATTTACGGTCGCCAGATTTTCAATATTCTAATAGCCTAAATGGTGACCAGTTATGAATTTTTGGTTGCCAATCAGCTTTTAAAGTCGCCCTGGCGACCATTTCAGTAGACTAAATTGAGGGCTGCATAGTCAGCTATAAAAGGCCCTGAAATGACAAATGTAAAACAATTCAAACGAGAAAACTAACTGCCTGATTTATGTACTAAATGATAAACGAAAAACAAATATGATATACAGCAACAACAACAACTGCTGAATTACAGGCTCCTGACTTGGAACAGGCAATTTGTTGATTTTTTTAAGCAAACACCAATGAGCTTTCATGACGTTGAAGAACATTGTTGCCTACCATTTTAAGAAAATGCATTCTTTATTGTTTTGAAATCAAATTCAATAATATTTTCAATAAATTGAAAGTAGTTAAATATGTCATAAAGATTAATATGTAAATTTATGTCAAAGTGGAGTTTCCTGGCATAATACTGTGTGAAAACTTACCCTAACAACTGAACATATATTTTAAAATTTTACATTCATAGCATGAAATAGAATAATTGCAGTTATGCCAGGTGCAACTTTGCCTTGTCTAGTTTAAATGGACACTTATCATAGCAATATTGTACGAATGTCTATAAACATTTGGATGATCTTGTTAATGTTTTTTTTCCTTGTCTTGCAGGCTACCAGCATGGATATTCCTCTTGTCATTAGAAGTTGTGTTCGGGCAATTAATCTTTATGGTAGGTTATGTTATTTAAAAATAATTTTACTAAAATGACACAAAATTCATTGATTGATAATCATCATGATTTAAGAAGAACATATGTTAGTAACTACAGATACTTTTTTTTCTTTTCAAAATGCACAGAATTTGATTCATATGCCTGCATATATTACTTTTTGAAGGCACTTTTTTATTTTGCAGGGATGCATCATCAAGGCATTTTCCGTATATCTGGTGCTCAAGTAGAAATTAATGAATTTAAAGCTGAATTTGAAAAAGGTAAGAAATTTTGATCATTTTAATATTGTCTGTACATGTAGCAGTTTAATTTGTTTGTTTGGTTGTTGGCATTTGACACCACTGTACATTACAATAATCAACATCAGTAGATATCTTGACAACTCTAACATAGTTTACCGTAGTCATTAAATAAATTTGGAAGGTCAGTTTCCCTTTCAAACAATACTATAAGTTATATTACAACCCTTACAATCTCTGTATATGTTTTCATTTAGCCTACACCAGGTATAAATCAAATGTTCAGAACAAAGAATGATCTATGAACTTGACAAACAATAATAATTTGATGATTTGTTTTACTAAAAGTTGTCAAGAAAGTTTGAAGTGGACAATTTTAACAAGAATAATGATGCAATGATACAAAAGAGAGACAGAAGATAGCAAAGAGATATTTAAACTCACAAGTTAAAAACAAACTGACAAGGACATGGCGAAAAACTACAAAACAAATACACCTTTAAAATACATTGATTTTTGTCTTGCCTTGACAGAGTCAAAAAGCGAGACATAGGTGTGCTGTTTCCTGCATCGGTGGAGGAGGGCAACAATGTATTAGTTTGTGATTAGGTCTAGTTTATAGTGAACCATTAGTGGTAGTTCAATGATATTTGGTATGTAGTTGTATTAGCATTGGCTAATCTCATTTCCATGTCGATTATTTGGCCCCACCCCCTCAGTGATGGTCTATTGACTTTGAAACTTTGCTTATTTTACATGTATTAGTTTGTGATTAGGTCAGTTTCAGGGGAACCACTAGTGGTAGGTCAATGATCTTTAGTATGCAGTTGTATAAGCATTGACATATCTCATTTCCATGGAGATTATTTGGCCACACCCCCTCAGTCATGGTCTATTGACTTTGAAACTTTTACTTAGTTTACATGTATAAGTTTGTGATAAGGTCAGTTTATGGGGAACCACTAGTGGTAGGTCAAAGATATTTAGTATGCAGTTGTATAAATATTTGCACATCTCATTTCCATGGAGATTATTTGGCCCCACACCCTCAGTCATGGTCTATTGACTTTGAAACTTTGCTTATTTTACATGTATTAGTTTGTGATTAGGTCAGTTTCAGGGGAACCACTAGTGGTAGGTCAATGATATTTGGCATGCAGTTATATAAGCATTGGCACATCTCATTTCCATAGAAGATTTTTCATAACTTACATGTTAAAGTATTGCTATTTTAATTTCTACACTTGCATTTTACTATCAAAATAACAAAAAGGAGAGACATATCTCTGTGTAAACAGTTTATGAAATATATAAATACCATTGTTTAGATCTAATATAGACCATTTGAATTCCATTATTTTATTTATTGTTCTGCTAGTTAAAATCCTTGGTAACTCTTTGTGCTCTTTAAAATTTCCGTAGTAAAAAATATCTTGTACATACATCTTTTTATACAATAAAATTGTGTATATATATTTCTACTTTTGGATTGTAGGAGATGATCCCTTGGTAGATGTAGACCCGAGTGATATTAACTCTGTGGCTGGTGTTCTAAAGTTATACTTCAGAGAATTACGAGAACCTTTATTTCCTTTACGTCTCTTTGAGGAACTCATATGTTGTAGTCGTAAGTTAATATGTTCATTACTTTGATATAAAACTCTAGGTATGCTTTTTCTAAAATCTGGGTTTTTGTGTGGTTAACATACATTTCATTTTACACTAATATCTTATATATTGCACGAACAATTAATACAGAGAAAAAAAGTATAAAGCTAATGTTTTATGGATTTTACCTATGTTGAAAAAGGGGATATGGTGTATTAATTTATGAATCAAAATCCCTACATGCACTTGTTAAAACTAAAAGTAAAGGAACAGAGCTTTTATTGCTTATCTTCCTCTCACAGTACAGCCTTCAATATGGAGTTTAAGCTCTTACCTCACTGCAAGTTTGAGACAACCATTTTCTCCAGTTTAACAGCCATGCTTTTCTAGATGTGGATTGTTTAATAAAAAAATAATACTGGTTTGATTAAAATATCTCTGTAATCTTAACTTTCTTCATGTTATGAAATACAGTAGTTCTCTCTTTGAATTTTTTAATGAAAAATAATTAAGTGTTGTGTAACAACAAAGAGACCACCAAAACCAATTTAAAATAGCTGTTTGGAAATATCCACAATCCTCAAAATTCATTTATGTTATCAAAATTTTAACATTTGCTTTTAACAAAAGACAGAAAGAAGGATTTCAAAGATCAGCAAGCATTCAGTCATCTTTGTTTTCCAACATTTTAAAAGATCTCATTGACACAATAAAAAAATGTGGTGTTTGTGTGGTCTGATAACAGCAGGAGGTTGCCAATGGGAGACAACTCTATCTTTTTATCAAAAACTAATCTGCAAGTACTCAATTTCATCAGTTATTTAATTCCCTGTGGAGATGAAGTAAGATAATTGTTGATCAAGTTTCAACACAAATATAATGGCTATCTTTACAAGAAATTCTATAATTCATTTTCAGAGGTCCCTTGCAAAAATTGAACATTACTTCTGGCAGTTTGGCAATATTTTTTTCAAGTTTAATTTTATCAATTGCTTTAAATACCACCTTAAACTATCCCCAGGATGAAAAAATAAACTAGGACTATATATTAACCAGCTTTTCATAATCAGGAGAGCATAAAGAACATTGCAAAGAATTCCCTGTTAATTTCTACTTCTATAGAGTGGGTCAAAAACTAACTGATACCGTAGAAAGGCTTGTGTAGTCCGCGGTTTTATTCTCCAAAATTGGACCTTTCAGACGGGGTGCGGACTATAGAGTACAATAAGCAAGAAATAAGAGAAAAATTTCAATTTCGCGGGCGAGGTGGTTTGTTTACGTTCCGCCATCTTTGTTATTTATATTGTAGAGGGGGCTCTTATCATTTTTCAAACTAATAATTTTAACTCATCCATATTAATAAGTTATTTCTATTCAATATCAAATTAATACTGATAAATATAAAAACTAAACCTTTCATTACAAATTTCTCGTTTCTTTTCAATGCATTGGTTGAAATAAACTGGTATCTGCTTGATTGAAACGATACAAACATAGTGAAAAAGACAACCGTAAACCAGCTTAGAATTTGTAAACTACAAAACGTAATCTGTTATTGTTCGTTCCGTTTTGGTGTTTCATACTGACTAATATGATTTGTATTAGCTTAAGACCCTTCAAACACTAATGTGATAGATATATTAAAGACTGTTTTACAAAAGGATGGAACTGTTTTACTTTCAAAGTCGTATTATAGTGATATCTGTTATGTACGGATTTCGACTCTCACCGGTTAATTTCTTCTATTACATGTGCTTTTTAAACTTCCTGTTTAAACATACACAAGTTTCTAAATTGTTTTTTAAGTGAATTAAACTTATTTTAACAATCATGAAGCGTTCTAGAATCATTTACAAGCAGTTTCAGCTTCTGTTTGATGATGGAAAACAGGTTGTTCCAAGAAAATACCGCAAACGACAGGATTTGAAATTACCGGAGTTTCATAAGACCTTTTCTAACAGTTACAAAAAGATTTTTTACCTAAAATTTCGTGGGGAGAAGGGGATGCGGACTATGTACCAGTGCGAACTATACAAGCCTTTCTACGGTATACATAATCCTACAAGGAAACCCACCCCTGTGACCACTTTCAATGTGCAGATAGGATTGGTGACTGTAGAAAAACTTATTGGAAGAAGTAACCTTTCTTTACTACCATTATTTAGTGAAACAAAAATTTTGCTAATACTGACTTACTTAGTATTTGTGACATAAAAGCCTATAGCTACTATTACTTAATACTGATGTTCATAAATTATTTACAGACTTAGGAGAACAACAAAGGATAGAAAAGATAAAGGAATTACTGGCTACTCTACCTAGATGTATTATTATTGTCATGAGATATTTGTTTGCATTCCTCAATCAGTAAGTACAACTATTCATGTAACTACAATTAGTAGAATATTTTCTGTGGAAATGAAGTCCAGGGGAGGGAGGTATTATTACACAATATTTACTTTTGAAAATTATGTTTGTTTTATTACATTACAGCTGAAAATATTATTTGAAAAGCTTGGTTATTCAGTGTGCACCACATTTTTGATGTTATTTCTTCATAGACAGAAAAAATATTACAGTCATTCCTTAAATGCAATACGAAAATTCAATTAAGTTTTGAAATGAAATGAAGTTGATGACTTATTTTTCTCCAATGTTCACTCATTATTCAGAGATTTTAAATAAACTAGTTTAACTATTTTATTGCCAAAAAATGAATTTGAGAAAATATTAACGCTTTCAGTTTCAAAAATCTATATTGAACTTTGAGTAATTTTCTTGAATACAAGCATGGTAACTTATGTGTTGTTTTATGATTTTCGATAATCTCATTTTGAGTTACAATAAATCTCAGTATCAAAATAATGACAATACAATAATAAGTTGAATCAGATTAATGAAATGAATATTTTAAAAAGAATTTCAGATCAAATAATTAAAGTCAAATATGTTACCTAGTATGTTTATTACTGAAAATGATACAGCATTGGCTATCTATTCAAAAGTTGTGAAAAAGTAAAAGTTTCTATGTAGAATATTATTAAGATAGAATTAATGGATTGCAGAACACATACTAAAATCTTAAAGCAATATGTTATCCTCTTATTAAAACTTTTGTTATTTCTTACAGTTTATCAGAATACTCAGATGAAAATATGATGGATGCCTATAACTTGGCTATATGTTTTGGACCAACTCTGTTACCCATCCCACCAGATAGGGACCAGGTGTCATTTCAAAGTAATGTCCATGAAGTTGTAAAGACTATGATAGTTCAGCAGGAAGAGCTGTTCTCTGGTGACGATGGAGGAATGATGTATGAGAAATGTATTTTGGAAGACAGGTAAAAGACAGGTTCTTTATATGAGGGGTCTGAATGGGGTTTACAGAATAGAGAATAATTGGCAAAAAATAGATAATAATAGGCAAAGAAAATGAAGAATGAAGAAAAATGGGCAATAGAAATAAAGAATAGAGAATGATGGGCAAAAAAATAAAGGATTGGGAAAAATGGAAAAAAAATTAAAGAATACCTAATTGTAAAAAAAAAATATGCATTGCATATTTATAGAAACTTATTTAAACTGTTAACATTTCGATACCACTTACTCAAGATGTTTTGTTTATACTGCAATAAGACACATAGCTGTGAGTGTCTTTTTAGTCCCCTACCGACGAAGTGGAAGGGGACTTTAGGTTTGCACTCCGTCCGTCTGTCCATCTGTCTGTCCATCCATCAGTCCGGCAAATCAGTTTTCCACACTTTTTTCCTTCATGCTTGTTAATAAAGAATTTATCTTTTGTAGGGAGAGGGGCTATTCTGCCACCTGTGTAATATACAAAATAATAATGGGATGCAAAGAAATGATTTTTTTATTCATTCTCAATTTTTGGTCTCGCTCTCCAATCAATGACAATGGAGTATTATAACACATGTTATTATTTGTAGGGATGTAGCTGATGATAATTATAACACATGTTATTATTTGTAGGGATGTAGCTGATGATAATTATAACACATGTTATTATTTGTAGGGATGTAGCTGATGATACAGAAGGAGAACAGTCATCAGTACACAGTGATGAGGAGGATGAAGATGATGGTAAGTCATCTCTCAAAACCTTCTTTGACTTTTGACATTATATATTCAATATACATACACGACAGTTACAGAAAATTTCTGACATTAAACATTCTTTTCTCTAATTTACATGCTATTCTCTGCAAATGATTGGTCGAAATTCAATTATGACATAAAATTTTCTTGATTTTTTTCTGAATTTCCTATTGTGACGTCATGAAAAAAGGCGACCATGTCTGATGACAACACATATAAAGTACACAACTTTCTGCAAATCTTTGAAAAGAAAGATTGAACTTTGTTTGGCTATTGTCTACATAATTATAAGAGAAACAGATTCCACCACTATATCTTGTGTCTTACAATATTTCTTCACTCTCAACAGTTAATTTTAAATATTTAAAAAGCTCGGCAATCCTCATGTTCTAAATTTAAAAATTTAACTGTCTCAAGTGGAGAAATATCGTAACACACTTGATGCAGTGGTGGAATCTATATGTTTACAAACAACAGAAAGATGTTAGGGAGAAAGAAAAATCTTTTCAATTCAATACCATTTTGTCGACTTGGTTCTAATTAATTGTAAAATGAAAGTGTCTTTGGAAATATTCTTAATTTTGTCATTTCATACAACAGGACAGACAATAAGATGTTATGAATATTTCAATATACTTAAGAAATTTCTTAAATGATCTTTTACAAGATGACAGAATGGGTGAAGGTCTATCTAACTTCATATTGACTCAGTTTCCTTGTTTAAAAAAAAACCTAGCAATTCTTGCAATTTCTGATATATCCAATTGCTTACATATAACAAAAAAAGTGTAGGAAAATAAAAATCGACTTTTAGTACTTTCCATTGTTTTTACGGGTTATGAGAATTGATACATTTTAGTAACACTAGTAAAACATTATCTATGAAGGTCAGGTAAAGAACTGACCTTTGAAGTATTTAAATTCCTGGAAATAAATGAGGACTTTGTTGTGTTTAGGTATGTTCTGTAAGTAATATCTATTTAATCAGTGTCAAAATAGTTTAAATCTTGTGTTCTCTAGTCCCATTGATATCACTTAGCCTCTGTCATCATTCTCTATCAGGTGCTTGTTTTATTAAGGAAATTAAATTAGATTTTTTAATTGCTTAAAAGAGTACTGTAAATTTGGAAATTATTGTGTGCATTTATTATTGTGATTTTTGAAGAATGAACGAAAATGCAAGTTTAATTATTTGGGATTTTAGGGAAAGCTTCATACAAATATAGGTATCAGATATCAGAAAGCGAGTTCTTATTTTTACGATACTCAAGGAGTTGCATTGTTCCCATTAACAAAAACCTTGCAATAATTTCTGAATTTACATTTGCCTATTTAGGACAAAGGAAATTTGTCTAATAACAGAAGATAAAATAATAATTTAAATGACATCTTTTTCTTTTCATAAAGTGTACTGACTTGTTTATTTTTGACTTTTTTTATGTGTAACTATATAAAAGGTTAAGAAAACTGATCAAAAGAACATGTTTATAATAAATATAAGTAAATATAATATATTGATCAGTGATACAGATTCTTATCATTAAATATCTTGCAGTGTTTCTTTATTATAAATCTTTGCAGCTGGATTTATTCTACTTTTATGTTCAAAGTATTACCTGAATAATTCAGTCCCTCCCATAATCGATCTGTCCTACTTGTGAGAGCCTGAAGTCCTAACTCACTAAAAACTCTTCACCAATTCTGGATTTGGAGAGGTGACCAATCTGTAGTCCGCTCTATTTTATCGTGATAGGTAAATCCTCGGCTAATTTCGAATGATTGCTTGAGGATTTTTCATTGTCAATGCATTTAGGCGTTAATGTAGCCATGGTAGAACAGTGAAATATAACGACTGAATTATTCGAGTTAATAGCCCAATCAAATAGAAATCAGTATTTGTTTAAGTCCAGCTGTTGAAGAACATATGTCTAGTATTCTGCTTCCATGCTCTTCTTACTTTTCCAGCCTCCACTCTTGGTAAGAGGTCTATTCCCATGTGTTCACTTCGCAGTGTTTTTATTTTTTTTTATTTTGAAAGTCTCTGAACATGGGTAAAGAATTGGAACACTGTGGCATAAAACAAAGGGACGTTTTTTTACTTTTCTGATGTAAAACATTTCCACTAAATGTTCAGAGACTGTTTGCAAATTTAGACTACTGATGTATGTGATTTCAGAAATGTCTTAAACAAGATTGATGTATTTAGTTTGTTTCTATTTCAAATGCATAATTCCTTTTTTATTTCAGTTTTTTGGTTGATTATAATTTCAGCCTGCTAGTCCTTGCTATTGAATTGAAAAAAAAGAAAAAAAAACAATCACTTGAATGGCTTACTACCAATTAAAACTAGTTTAGATCAATGTGAATTTTCATACTAACAAGTTAGTTGTAAATCCAAGCATGACATTTTCAGAAACATACAATATAAACTTGACTGATCACTGCCAACCCATGTATTAAAGCATCTACCACAATTCCTTATTCCCAAAAATAAGTTTGCTAGATTTGATACATTTCATATACTATATGTGTATATTCTCCAAATATATATAAATTTGTTTGACCTTATGACCTTTAGTACCACATTATTGATGCATATTTTCCATTATAAATATTTTTGCCAAGGAAATGTACTGTGAATTTCAGATTATTGTATTGTTTTATCTGTGCCAAAAATTAAAGATTGAATGAAAAATCAATTGATACAGTTATTGAGTTTTGGAATTTGCAGTACATTATGAAAATACAGGTTTTGGAAGTTGAGGTAGAATTAGATTATAACATATGTATCTTTATCTTGTATAAACACACTGATAGATTAGTATTTCTTCTCTGCTTTGATTTAACTGTAACCTGAGCCTGAATTTACCATAATTTAAGGACAATTAGTATTACAATGTTTTTCTATTATCGATAGTTTATCAAACCAAAACTCTAAACAGATGTCAGTACTCTTTTGTTTTTGATTGTAGATTCAGAGATCTTTGAAGCCATATCATTATATGATTTTGAAGGAAGAACAGATAGAGAATTGTCATTTAAGAAAGGACGATCTTTACTTTTATATAACAAAGTGTCTCATGATTGGTGGGAAGGTGTATGTGAGGGGAAAGAAGGTCTCATTCCTGATAAATATATACATATTAAACATTTGTAAGTATCAACAAGCTGTAGTGTTAGAACTCTCATGTTATATACTCATCAGTTATCATATACTGTCCCCTTTTCTTGTGTGAAATTTTTATATGAAATCTGAGTAAAATCTAAAATTCGTAGTACAAGGATATTTTTTAAATGATTGGAATGATAGCTTTGTTTCAGAATATATGCTGGACTGAAGTGAACCAGGATATTCAGTTAAATAGTAAAATATAAAAATTCATTTTAGCTTTAGCCTTTAGGAGTTTTCAGTGAAGTAATTCATGTTTAAGCCCATTAAGTTGAAAAAAAATTTTACGATATGACTAAGTAATTTTAAAATGTAACAGTTCTAGATGCAGACCTTATTATTAAAACAATATCAAAATAACAAAAACACATTCATTTGAACAGAATGGATATCATATGTTAATTAAAATAACTGATTGATATTAAATGGGACATCCAATGGTGTATGTCAATTTCTACTACTTCTTTGAAACTGATGATCATACAGCTAAAGAACTTGATATGCACATACTTCTTATCCTGACCATATTCTATAAGATGATATAAGATGAAGGTAAAATGACCATAGTTCATAGTAATATAAAAATGCCAAAAGTTCAATTTCTAGGTACTTTTGGGCCTAAATCATATAAATCGGCATGCAGATACATTTAGCACAGCAGAACAGTCTCCCTATGGTAAGCAGGTTACCGTGACCTATATTTTACACTTCAATGATTTAGATTAAATAAGTTGCAATTATTATAAGCTGTATTAGGGGGTGAAAATTATAAATTGTTAATAAAGAAATTGATACATATAGGTTCAGAATAAAAGACTTTTTATTCATTTGACAAAGAAGAAAAAGAAGAGTTCCATAGAAATGCAATTTAGAAATGAATTGAATTATTTACAGATATGGATCATCATCTCCTTGTTTAATAAGGTAGTTCATCTAAATAAACAGTATTTAACAATCAGCTTTTACTCACAAATCACATTATATTAGGTTGCCAGTCCTAATCTTCACAATGCATACATCATTTTTTGGTGTTTGGAATGTTTGCTGTACAAAAAGAACAAACATGTAAACAATTCATTGTAATGTGTTTATATTTTTGACCAGAAGGGGTCAGTTAACTGTTGTAGTGAATTCTGCTTTCAATTTTTTAATTTGTAAATTTAGAAAAGAATATCCTAGATTTAAGTCATATGAAACTTCAAATTTAAAAAAAAAAGTTCAAGACGTTTTATATACTTGAATGGTTAAGTTTTACTTTAAAACAAGTGTACGTGAACTTTCTTGTTAAAGACAACCCTTTATATTATCAAAAGCTTCATAAATGTACGGCTATTGAATTATTGTTTTCTCATACACTAATTCTCCGACATTTTTTCCATATGCAGTGACCTAAGCTCCAAGACCTCTCTGTACTTGAATGTAAATAGTAATAACTGATTCTTAAAGAACAAATTAAAAAACCAAATCATTTAACTGTTAAGGAAAAGTTTAATTGACAAATGGGAGTGCATGGAAAGTATAAGAAAATATCATAGTTCTATCAGTTCACTTATTTTTTATGTGCCCCCTTGTGCTCTGTGTTGTTATTTATCAGTGTCATGATCTGGTAAACTCTGACAACAAACTCGAAAGTTAGTTAACTTACAATCAACAATCACTGAATGAAATATTGTTTGTCGATAATACGTTATAGATTTGTAATAAATGTGAAAAACATGCATACAGGACTTAGTTTTAATATGTATGCATGCATTGGTTCAATAATTTTGATAACATTATAATTACAAGAAACTCGTTTCATATGACTTTAAATTGACCTTGAAAAGTGTGGATGACTAGTTAGTTTGTTGAAATGTGTTTAGAATCTGCAGTGAAAAACATTTACTAATACGACATACCACTGGCTTTTAACCTTGGAATTAAATTGTTTTTGCATTTGTGTATTTCAAAAATCATGTCATTACATGTGGCATTTAGTTTTAATTCTACATATTACATCATTTTGTTAAAACTACAATTTGTTGTTCAGTTGCCTGCTGTATACATTAATTACACAAGCTATAAGTTTTGATTGTTATATAAGAAAAAAAATTATAAATATCTCTCATTGCTTCAAAATTTACCTTGTGAGCACTCAAAACTGATGACAAGTAATATGCTCTTTAGAAATTTGAAGAAACTCTGCTTTTACTGTGAACCAAACGAGTGTTTGACTGTCAATAAAAATACTACATGTATTTATATGTTGAGGAAATGTGTATGCTGGGTTGCTTTTAGTTCTTTTGAAATCATGAATGCATTTACAGGTACAAAAGCAATTTTGAAAGTAAGAATTTTCATCATGTGACTCATTTAAGGTAAATTTGAAATTAAGGCTATTTTGAACTGCTTGAAATAATTGTAATACAATCATTTATAAAGAGAATCATCTAGGAGATTTATAACAACATGGAAATAAAATACAGTAGGTATCACTTGACTTAAGAAGAAATTATTCCCAATATTCAACATAAAAACTCATTAACCGGATTTCAAAGGAAAAATCTGTTATTGTTTGGGGATGTACGGTGGGCGGGCGGGCTCTCGGGCAGCTGCCAAACAGTGACCGTTCATTTATATGAAAACACTTTGATGAAATTCTGATAAGTTGTTTCCTGTAACTAAATGAAGGTCAAGTTTAATTTTCACGACTTTAGCTTTTCTCGTCCTTGAATTTTAGACCCTTTTAGAAAGCAGAAATTTATTATTATGTGATTGAGTTATTTCCCTTAGAACAGAAATTGATAAGTTCATGTATAGCTGAGATGTATAGATAGTCTATCAATGATTGTATCTGTTCAATTGATTAGTCAGGAGTTGTCAAAAAAAAATTTTCTTCTATTTTCAGACCTGAAGACAAAAGATCTTTATTAGATGAAGATAAAATGAGCATGTCTTCTAGTACAATAAGAAGTGTTAAATCTGAGGACTCCAAATCAATGGAGAGATCAATTTCACAAAGTGCTCCTACACCTAAAGAAAGTAGTCCTTCAATAGCCTCTGTTTCTTCAAGTTCTTCATCACAAACTTCGAAGTCTGTAGAATCAAAAGATACTTCATCATCAAGTGATTCTGTTTCATTTTCTGTTGATGTCCCCTCTCCAGCTCCGGCTCCAGCTCCCTCTCCAACTGACAAGATGGAATCAAGTGTAGAAACCACAGAGACTGTCACAACGGTTTCATTATGTAATAGTGACAAAACTGTGCTGGAAGATAAAACAACTGAAAAAACTATTGCAGTAGAAAAAATAACAGAAGAATTGACAGCTGATATAGACAATGCTTTGGCCGAAGTCGTTTCTGGATTACATATGCTGGAGATGCAACAGATAAATGATAAAAGATTGAGTCTACCGAACGTTAAAGCAAAACCATCGCCAAAACATACACCTGACTTAGTGCTAGATCTCCCCGAGGGATCAAACTCCTCACCATCTGGTGATGGTAGTGAACCAGACAGTCCTACAAGTACTGCTGATACTTTTGCAAAATCAAATCAAGGGACTCTAAAGAAGGCTAATTCAATGCCAAGGACTTTAACTGGAGACAGGTTTTATGCACCATCAGGACAAGATGTGTTGCTAGAAACAAGTTTTATGTCTCAACAACCATTGTTATCCACGTTCCATGTCAAATCTCAACAGGCACGTACAAAAAGTGCTCCAGTATCGCGATCTTCTACTGAGACAATCATGTCAATGAGTGTTTCATCGATATCATCTTCTGCAGTACCAGTTCCTCCTGTATCCCTTCCTACATCTAACTCACCATCTACTGCTCATACAACTCATCAGGCAACCCCACCTCCAGTGGCTGAAAAGCCTAAACTACCACCGAAAGTCAAACCACCTGTCATGAAGAAACCAAATCCAGCAGATCCTCATAGAAAATTTTCACTTCCCACATCAATGACACCAAACCCTGATGATTCTCAACCTCAGTGATAGTTTAGTAGTTTAACTTTTTGCAATTTTATCATATTCAATATTTTAGATAATTTGGAAAAACATATTTTATTATTGTTAGGTTTAAATTTTTTATATGATAACACATAAATGTTTGGTCATTCGTCTGATAATACTATTTAAATATAAACTCAGAAAATATAATGGAAAAAAAAATTCACAAACTATATACAATTGTCAGATATCATTGAGAAATATTAGTTTTTAATAACATGAAAATATATTAATGCAGTTCAAATGTCAAAATAAGTTTCATATTTCATAAAATATAAACACTGATGTGTGCCTTTACAAATAAACTGCTTGACAAACGTTTATTCAATCTAAAGCCAAAATAACAGCATTAAACATGTGAATCTATTGGATGTATTTCATTTTTTTATGTTATTTAATGCCTGTCTACAGCTTATGCTTTCAAATTGTTTTATGTCTTTCCTCCATGCACTTTTTTAATAGCACAAGAAAACGCAATTTCTTTAAATTATACTAAAATTTGAATCTTCAAGGTAATTGTATAAACAAATGTTTGGCATTGACTTAAATCATTATTTACATTGAAAGGCAATGTGGGACAAGTTTTTCATTTATTTTGCTGTTGTTATATAAATTTCATTTTGGCAATATATCATTTCAAGGTCAATATATACATACTGGTAATATTCTTGATGATGTATGAAATTAAGAATCTTAGATTTGCATCTTTTCACAGGAGGTTGTCATATCTGTATTAAAAGTAGTGTTCAAAATAGTAACTTAAGCAGAATGGTGCTATTATATTTCTACAGTTTTACAGTACTGAGCCTCTTTTCACAAAAAATCTTAAGAGTAAAAATATTCGTAAGTCACACACATTTCAGTATAACTTGCGTTCAATTTTAATTGTAAGATTTTTTGTGAAAAGAGTCACTGATCAGTAATAACATTCCTGTTCATTAATGTATGGGGACAACCTTAGGCTCTCACAAAATATCTTATGATTGAAATTGATCGTTAGTTACACTGAATATTTCTGACTTTTGAGTATTTTATTTGTAAACTATTTTGTGAAAAGAGTCGCTTTTTTTTGCAGGAAATACAAACAATTGCTTTGTCTCAAAATTTCAAGTGGATCTTAATCCACAAAATAAAATGTCATTTATTTACAATCTTTATTTATGATATTTATTTTTATTTCTTGCAATGTCTCATTTAACATATATAGAGTCCTGATTTGTCTTTTGTCAGTGTTTGCATAATAATAAAAAGCATTGATATAGCTTTCTGATAATCTTTTTTTTTATTTAATTTTTGTTTCAATTTTATGAAGCAATTAAATTCCATTAATTTGAAGCTTCATTGAACATTCACCCCTAAATTTTTGTAACTTATTATTGACTTCACTGTTATATGTGATATATTTTTAACCCAGCATTTACATTGTTGGTCAGCTGCATTGCAGAATCTCTTATTTAAACTTTGGAATTGCCGGTAGTTTCTTGATGATATTTCAAGTGTATTTTTTTTCATATCCACATACTTATACAGAATCTCTCAATTTTTGTGGCATCACTTCCGATTCTGAATTATATAAAAACTCAATATTCCTGTCGTTCTAGATAGAATTGTGTATATAATGGGAGAAATATAAGTTGTTGAATCCTGTAGTGTGTATTTAAGAGTTCTCTCCCCTTGTGCCATGTAAGCAATACAACTAAGTGCCAAACTGTTCTGGCTGCGGAGTTATTGTTAAATCTAGCGAGGTTAAGTATTTATAGCTAGTTTGTTACGCTTTTAACTTTGACCAAATGTACAGGTGTACATTCCAAATGGTTTGATCAATACATTTATAGATGTGTGTTTGAACTCTTTTATTGCTTCATTTAAGTATTATTTTCTATTTAATTGTATGAATGAACTAAATAAAATCATGCCCACATACAGGTCCATTCAAGAAAAAAAAAGCTGTGTTTCTTTATTCCAATTGAATACAAATATATGTTTTAAACTATTTTAAAAGGTATTCTTGAAATAAATTGTGACTAGGCAATAAAGAGTTGTATTGAATCATCTTTATTTGGATGAAAAGAATTAAACCTCTGAACAGAAATTTTAAGAAAGAGCATTGAAATTAGTCTGAGCTGGATATAGGCAATTTTGGGGACCAGATGTGATTTTGTGTAATTTCTACGGCTGATGTGCCTTCACTCATTACAGTATTTATATTGTATGCAGTAGCCCTTCATATGTTAAATGGATATGTAATTGGAAAAAGAGAAGATTACATTCACATAATGGCAAGATTTATTATTTAAGAATATTTGGAATATTATATAACAATATATAAAAGAAAGTTCATATTGATGTAATTTGTTTTTTTAAGCTTTCCTTTTTCATGTTTTGTTATGTTTTGCCATATGCATGTTACTTTAAAGCATAATGGCAAGAGGTTCCATATTTTGAGCATGTTTAAAAAAAATCTGAAAATATTCCAGTTTTCACTAATTGATTTGAATACCATTACTGAACCCCATCAATTTTGATTTTGCAGAAAACTCTTTAAGTAAAAATGTTTATGACCTAATTGTTTATAGAAAAACATAAAGGGTCCAAAATTCTGCAGTTTTTCAATTCACATACTAACAGATGTTTCATATACTGGTAACTAATTAAAGAATCAGAAATAATAGTTGTGGACATTTTTCATTGTGACTGTGTTTTATAGTTTAGCTATTTATTAGAAAAATCCTGTATGTATTTTATAGATATATAGTACAAAAATCAGAAATTGTTCAAATACCTCTATTTGTAGAAATGTAAATGGAATTTCATAGATATATCACTTGAGACATGTTGCATTATTTTTAGAACTAAATTAAATAGATATTCATCTGAAATTTTTTGCTTGTAAATCTTCACTAATTAGATGTTTCATATTCTTTGTTTATGTGCAATTTTATGTTTTAATAACATGTACAAAAAGAGAATTAATAAAATACAGATAGAAATGTAATGTTAATGCCCGTTGTGTATTATGTACTAAAAAATAATAAAATATTATAAACAAAGCAGTGATCAAATGAACTAAGCAGTCAGTTATGTTATGTTATACATCAAGTGATCAAGTTTCTTCAGTGTCGACATAAATGTGTTTAATGGTAGAAATACAGATTGTTTTTCATTTAATTGTTGATAACTTGTAGCATTATTTTACTTAAAATGAGAGATCTGCAAGTTTGCTTCTGCTCATCTCCAAAATGGTTCAGGATGCTTCATCAGTTGTTTATTGGTCAAAGTTGTATTTTGTTGACTTCAAATGGTGCTTTTTGACAGGTTAACTGTTACATTAAAATGTGTAGTATTTGAAAGTACTTAGTGAGTATGTGTTCACAGATTTTGTTGGTATACACTATTGTCATTACTGTGGAGAAAAGTTGACAGTAGATACTACAGGGAATATATTCAAACCACTTGGTCTGAGAAATTTTATGGAAATTGAAAACATCACGGATAGTTTGCCTAGAATAAATGACTTTGAGAAATATTTGGAATTGAAAACTTGTATAAGGAAACCTATGTAGCTCATCTGGTTCAAATAACTATTTAGGGATAGCCATCACTTTGCATCCTATAAAATCATTCACTTATTTGACACATTTTCATTTTTCCCCCTCAAATTGCTTGCCTACTTGTATTATTAATGGAACAGATATCTAGTGGTGTCTACTTCCACCAGTGGCTCTAATTGCAGAGATTTTATATAACTCTTAACTCACATTTACAATTTAAACCACATTTCAATGCAATCTGTAGAGCTAGACGTATTAAATGGACACACGTCTATTGTTGAAGACCAAAATGAGACCTTTAGTTTTTGATTTTTTGTTTTTGGGTTGCTGTCTCATTGATATATATATATCCTGTTTCTTCTTTTATTCATATTTTTATGATGTGAAATCCAAGATGACCACCAGTATGTGACTACTTATCAAGATTAAATGAAAACACATTTTTTCTAAGAAATTTTTTTCTCCCATAAAATCCCAGTTACATAAATCCTTTAGGATAAGTATTTAAATGATGTGTAATTGGATAACATATCTCACAAAATATGATCTAAATATCACAAATAAGGACACATTAAAAGTAATTTTCATGGCTATAAAGGTGACTGATACAGGTTTATTGGAAGCCTTAGATTAAATGGTTAAAACCCATTTTAATTTTTCAAAAATCTGTATTTGTTTTAGCAAAAATATTTGACAGTAGAAAGGTTATCTCATATGTAATAAAATGAGAAGTTTTGTTGGCATGATTTTTCTGTTATCATAAATCAAAATGAAATGAGGAATTGTTAAGCTTCCACATAGTCCATTTATCTGTTATAGAAAATTTTATGTCAAATTCAATCAAAATACAAGACCTGAAAGACAATTTTTATCAACAACAAAAAAATGAAATGGAATAAAGTATATATTCATAATTTATGTAACACAGAATATTAAAGGACATTATAAAAAAATGTGATATGCAGATATCTGTAGCCAGGAAGGACTTTCAATAAGTTAATATTGTTTACATATGGCATAATGTTAAAACATCTTTCATTCTTGATGCTCTTAAAACAAGAATGACTTTTTTATTGTGAATATGATTGGATAATCTAGAATGTAGTTAGACCAATGAAAATAGAAGTTAGTAGACATAGGTATACATTGGTTCATTTAATGCTCATAATATAGGTACAAATGTATATGCATGCTTTTTACCGTGAATAAAAGATATGAAATCTTGACAGTTGTCTTTTATGTTAACTTTGTTTCAGGCCTCTAAAGGTTTGCATTGAAAGACAATTACATCCAATATTACAAAATGTGAAAATGAAACACAAATATTAGTAGTTCAGAACATATAGAAGTGAAAATAAAACACAAATATGAGTAATATGAGTAGTTCAGTACATAAAGATGTGAAAATAAAACACAAATATGAGTAGTTCAGATAAATAAAGATGTGAAAAAAAAACACAGATATTAGTTGTTCAGTACGTAAATATGTGAAAATAAAACACAAATATGAGTAGTTCAGTACATAAAGATGTGAACTTAAAACACATATATTAGTTGTTCAGAACATAAAGATGTGAACATTCAAAAACGAATATTAATATTTCAGTATATATAGATGTGAAATTGAGACACACATATTAGTAGTTTAGTACTTAACAATGTTAACATCAAACACACATATTAGTAGTTCAGTACATAAATATGTGAACAGTAAACACATATATTAGTAGTTTAAAAGTACATAAAGATGTGAACAAAAACACAAATGTAAGTAGTTCGATCAGAACATTCATTCATTCCTTAATATCTTTAATTCCTCATAAATGAGATTAAATGAACATACAATTAGTGAATATAAGTAAACGTCATAATTACAAACAAAATATCAGTATGCGAGCAAAAAGAATAAAGTAAATACATAACAGATAAATGACTGTTTATACAAGCAATATTAAAAGTATTGATGCAGTGACATCATGTATGGGCACACCTAAAATCATTGTCTCAGAGATCGACTATATTCTGTTACACACTGAACAACATGTGCGTGACACAGCTTGAGAAACTGGACAGATTCATCCTTGTTTGAAAAATTTGTCAGTGGGTTTTCGACCGAGTAACATTTGAAACAAGATTTCGTCGTTGAAGATTAAGATGGCTGCCAATCTAGTAGTGAGTTGATTTTCAGCTCTGCAGTTTTTGGCAATTTAAAGCTGGGCTTTTAAGGAATTTATCTATGGAAATCATATGATGTTTGGAAATTGATGAACTTTACAGAAATATGATTTACTTCACATTTTGTTGAAAGGTGGATTTACTATCGTGGAAATATATATTTTTGGATTGGAAAAGTTTTTGTAATTTATTGATTTTTCTGAGTAGTGTTGTCTGTATTACAACTATGCCTGGGGATAGTAAAGGTGTAAAAACTGTACAAACAATTGTGCAGCTAAAAGGCCTGGGAGCAAAAGACTCCGTGAAGGAAAAACCATTAAAGCAGGAACAAACGATCCCATTCAGATATGGAAAATGTGAGTTTAGAATATAGCAAAGTGCTCTCGACCAATGAAATTGTAGGATTTGGTGTTCTTAATTGTAAAAAATGAATGAAATCATGTTCTTAGTAAGGGATTATCCTATTGTTTAGGCCTACTTACAGTTCAAAACAAAGAGTTTCTATAAATGAGTTACAAATGCCCCGAAGCACATTTATCAGCTTGAAAAAATTTGTGATTAAAGCTAACTAAAAGTTGAATTTTGAAACAAACAAAAAAAAATCAAAATTAGATGAAGTTTACTGGTGCAGTAACATTGGTTACTGGATCCGCGGTTGGTGAGAATAGTAATTTCCAATATTCTGATAAAATTATAAAAAAAAAGAATTTAGTTTAACTTTTGAATATATTTTAAACTATTTTTAAAGGCATTGTATTTGAACATTTCCCAAACATAATGAAGTAGTATTTGATGTAAAGGACTCGACTCAAGTATTGGCTGTAAAATAAAATTTATTTGTACCTCAAATTTTGATTTTGTTGATTTGAAATGGAAATAAACAAAAAGATAATTTCTCGCTAAAATATTACATGATTTACATCCATACTCACAATCAGGAAACATTTCTTACCATTTCATTGTATTGTTGTGTCATCTAATGTATAAAACATAATTTATTATATTTTCAAAAATTATAAGAAGGTCCTTACATCACTAAAACTAATCCATAAATGAAATCATGCCTAAAAAGGAAGTCACGCATTAATAACAAACATTGCACTGACAATGAAACTATTTCTTAAATACAACCAATCAAGAGATCATTTAAGCCTTGAGCACTTTACAATATTCTAAGTTTGTAAGAGAATGATAATCCCTTACTTCATGATAAGTACTCTCTAACGCTCGTACTTAATCATGAAGAAAGGGATTATCATTCTCTTACATATACGTAGAAGGTATTGATTTGACTGGTATTCAAAATGATTTAAGTGAAATAAAACAATCTCTTCAGGGAACAGTTAAAAAGACCGACCTTAATAGTGCTATGGTAAATTTAGTACAACAAAAGGACTTACAAAGTTTAGTTACTAACATTGTCCAGAAATTATTAGATCATTTTGAAGAGAAGATCACCAGTAAGTTTGTTTCTCAAGTAAGGGAGGCAACTGGAAAACTTGATGATAAGTTAGATACATTGATGATAGAGAATGAGAATCTGAGGGAAGAATCGGGGCAAAAGATAAAGTAATAGATAACTTGGTGGAAAAGGTTGGTGACAATAATAACAGATCTATTGATGCATTGAAGTTAGCCAATTATAATGAGCAATACAGTCGAAAACATAATATAAGAATGCAAAATTTTCCTGAAAAAAGGGGTGAGAATTTGAGAAAAGCCTTTATTGAAATTAACAGTAAAGAGTGATTGTAATGTAGATATTGAGCCCAGTGATGTACTAGCCATCCACAGAATACCTGTAAAATGAATTTATTAGAAGCCTGTTATTGTTAAGGTTAAGAATACTGACACTAAAATACGGATAATGCGACAAAAAAAATCCTTGGAAAATGAAGTGAAATTTCATGATGATATAACACAACGCAATCTTGGACTAATGGCAAGACTTTAGAATACTGAAAATTTGAAAATGTATGGTTTTACAACTGTTATGTGTTTGCCAAAACTGAAACTAGTACCAGAATAAGATTTGATCTATTTGACCATGTAGAAGAAATAATGAAAAAGAAATTTAAAGACGGAAATTAATTAGTTATCATTAACCGGATTTTCGAAGGAAAAATCGGTTATTGATTTGGGGATACGGCGGGCGGCGGCCAAACTGTGTCCGTTCATTTACATGAAAATGCTTTGATGAAATTCAAATTTTGATATGTTGTTTCCTGTGACTAAATGAAGGCCAAGTTCAATTTTCTCGACTTTAGCTTTTCTCGTTCTTGAATTTTGGACCCTTTAAGAAACCAGAAATTTACTTATTATGTGATTGAGTTATTTCCCTTTGAGCAGAAATTAATAAGTTTAATGTATAACTGAGATGTATAGATAGTCTATCAATGATTGTATCTGTTCAATTGATTAATCAGGAGTTGTCAAAAATTTCTTTATAACTATTTTTTTTAAGTCATGTGTGTTTTGAAGGTAGATGTCACAGTTGTTATGTGGCATTTTATTTTTGTTGTGTGTGTTAATGTTAAATTTTTACTTGATCCTGTTTGGTGTCCAGATTTGCAAATATCATTTTCATTAGATAATAATCTATTTTTACTAAAGGATATATTTCATTACATTACACTGTGTAGATAAAGTTGTTGACATTAATAGATAAGATGCAGATAAGATATTATTTTGTGACAAATGAAAGAAAAAATATTGGGAACTATTAATTATATTTGATTATAATTTGAAAACATCATATCTAATTTTAGAGAACAATTTTTTAGTGGTGAAATCATATCTAGTTTTAGATTTGCATTACTGGTTCATGGAAACAAGTTTGAGTTATCTCCCTTTGAACAGAAATTGTTTTAATTAATAAGTATTTCATCAAAAATGGGTTCTTTGATAAGCTGATTCTAACAATGTACTTAGATTTTAGATATTGGACAATAATAGGTAAATGTCAAATTTCAAATTTTTCAGATCTTTGACCACATTTATTTTGTGTCACAAACCTATGCTGTATCAAATATTCAATCACAATCCAAATTCAGAGATGTTTTAAGCTTAAATGTTGTGTCCATACTTGCTCAACTGTTCGACCCCTGCAGGAAAATCCGGTTTGCCGTCACTCTGACGGCCTCTTGTTTTAGTCTGTTACATCTGTTAATATTAATTTTGAAAATGTACAGCTTTATATAAATTTAAATAGATAGATATAAATGTAAAAGATAAATGCTGAAGTAAAAAAGTGTTTTATGTCAATTCTGAATTATATAATCCTGTATATATAGTAAAGAGTATAAGAGATAAATCTCAATTTTTTAATGAATATAAATTATACTGTCACTATACAGTTAAGGGGAAATAACTTTAACATTAATAATAAAATAAATATGTAATCTTATCTCCCATAAAAACATCTATTCCTTTACTAGATTTATTTATAACTATTACATGCCATACTGTTAATTAGTTTATACATTCAATGTAGAATGAAGAAAACAATATGCGACATCTTATGCTTGTATGTGTGTATGTTTATGTATGTCAAATTTGTTACAATTGTACATTTGTGCTTATGAACTTTCTTATATGTTTTATAAATCATCACTTTAGCTATAATCATGGATAATAATGTAACGATATTATCAATGGATGTGAGGGGTCTTTTTTCAAGTTCCAAAAAGAGGTCATATGTATTTGATTGGGCTAGGAGTAAGAATACTTCAATAGTGTGATTCCAGGAAACTCATAGTAATAAAGACATTGAAAAATACTGGGAGGATGAATGGGAAAATAAATGCTTTTTCAGTCATAAAGACAGTAAAAGTGCAGGTGTCTCTGTTATGTTTAAAAAAAGGTCTGGATTTTGTTGTACATTATTGATGATAATGGTCGTTACATTATTTTAGATATAACAATTTTTTAACAAAGATTGAGTTTTGCCTGTTTGTATGGTTATAATACAGATGAACCTTCATTCTTTGACACAATAATGCAGAAAATTTTAGCCTTTAAAACGCGAGTGTTTTATTATGTGGTGACTT